GATGAGCACAGAATTTCCAACAATTTAAAAAGGGGCCCTAAGTATACTTCTGTCATTTTGTACTATGCATTTATGTGAAGTGGTGTTTTCAGCATTGACGATTATAAAAATCAAAGTATTGATCAACTCTGAAATATGTTGAAGATGCTTTATGTCCTATAGCATCAAATATTCAGTCAGGATATAATTCTTTATGTAAAATAAACAAGCGTTCATATCATTAGCATGTAAATCTGCTTCCACTTATAAAGCTTGGTAAAATTATACATAAAGAATCATCTTAAAATAGACTTATTTATTATATGTTATCAGTCAGTGTTTTACTTGTATATGCATTTTATTACTTACACGCTTGGGGGGGTCACATAAAAGTCTTGGGTGTCAAAGAGTTATGAGTGGAGTTGCAGAGCCCTTCTCTCACATACCACACTTCCTGTCACTTTGACCTTCTCCTGTACTTCCCAGCAGCCCGGATGTGGTAACTACCACGTGCCCACCACTGTCTTTGTTAAGATCTATGTATCTTTCATCACACAGTGACCCTTTATAAGTGGGATATGCCATTTTTTCCTCATTCTCTGATGAACTCAGGACTGATCACCAGTCCTGGCCTTGCATTGTTTGCATGAAGATAAGAAATGGCATCTTGGGAAAGTTATTTTACTTAAGTTCATGCAGTAGTAATCTGGATGAGAACTGGACCCAGATCAACACCATTCCAGAAGTCATGGTTGAACGTACCATTAAACATGTTAAGAACCCAAACTGAGCTACTTTATCTTCATACTGTACTAGGAAGGGAGAAGGCAAGTCTACCTGGCATGGTGGGTTAAGTAAAAGAATATGATACAGAGAGGTGTAGAATTAAATCCTATTCTTGGGCAAGTTACATTTCTCTGAGTGTCACTTTCTGTAGCACTACCACGAGGCGACTTTGTGAGCTAGCTCTGAAGCACCATCCTAGGTGCGACTTCAAAGACAGTCTATCCCAGCCCACAACTCTTGCTTTCTTATTACCATTAGGCTCTCTCTCCACATTCTCACCTCCCCATCAAGTCTCATTATAAGTTCCCTCAGCTCCTACTAAGCTACTGACACTGTCCTCTCTAAGTTGACCAATGACTTTTAGTGGCCACATTCTCTTTGTAGGCTTCATTCTTTTGACCTCTGTGGACACAATTATGACAGTGGCCACAGGACTGGGTCATACATCACTCGCCACTGTACACATGCTGCCATCCAGATTTCTGGAGCCTGAGCTAGACAACTTCTAGGCAGTTACTATCAACCAATAACTGTCAACGTGTGACCTATGCACGCACACAGTGACTTCAGAGTGCTGTGCAGCCTCATTCCCTTCACTTCCCTTCCTCCACACATACTGTGTTCTGGGTATTTCTGGACTCCCTTAAATGCATGTTCTTTCTACCAACTTGATCACTGTACACACTTGATTATTTTGAAAGGAAAAACAGTTATACTATTATATCTAATCAATGCATAAGGATTCCCCCCAGAGCCAGCTCCACTATCTCCTATCTCCTGCTTTGAAGATCTTTTCTTCCTTCCTTCCTTCCTTCCTTCCTTCCTTCCTTCCTTCCTTCCTTTTTGGTTTTTCCAGACAGGGCTTCTCTGTATTGCTTTGGAACCTGTCCTAGAACTACCTCTGTAGACCAGGCTGGCCTTGAACTCACAGAGATCCACCTGCCTCTGCCTCTGCCTCCTGAATGCAGGGATTAAAGGCCTGGGCTACCAACGTCCATTAGGAGGCCTTTTCTATGTAGCACAAAAAAGGAAAAGCTTTCATTTTTAATTACATGACATCACAACCCTACATTACCACATGTCTATTCTACAGAACGGAAAATAAATCTCCTTTAGTCCTCATTGACATATCATGATCATCTTCCTATTTTCTCTGGAACTTTCTATAGTATCTAAAACACAGTAGATGCCCAGTAAATGCTTATTGAGTGAAGAACAATTGAACAGATGGGTGGGTAAGTGATATGCCCTTTACTGTAAAATATGGTAGGTTTAGAACTAGCAGTGTCTGCTTGGGGACATTGCTTGGAATATGGCCCAAAGGAAATCTTAGATGTACATGACCCCAGAATTTCATTGCTACCAGACAATACGAGTGGTCATAACAGTAACCATGATGATAATAGCTACCATTAGCTAGTGCTTACTATGCATCAAGGCAAAATTGCTTGCTTTAAGACTTCAAGAAAAAGGAACAGAGAAGATTTTAAGTATAATTAAAGATAAGAGCAGAATCAAGACAATTCTGGGTAAAAAGAGTTATTCTTTGATCTGCTATCCAAAAATTTAACAGCTGTCTAAAACTCTGAAGAAGGCATATCTGGGGCATTTATTAACACAAAGAAGCCAGAGCCAGAATTAAGACTCCATTACTCACATAGATGTCTGGACTTGGCAGTAAATAAATAAAAAAATTTGGCAGCATTTTATAGTTGCTGCCTTTAACATTACCCAGTGAGATTTCATTCCTGGTCTAACTATATGAGTAAAAATTAACTTAGAATCCTGTGTTCATGTGTGTGTTATGGTTTAGAACCAAAAATGTTGAAGGTTTGGTCCAGGTACAGCAGTGTTTATAGCAGGGGCCAGAGAGAGATGGCAACTTTATCAGTGGGTTAATCTATCGATAAAGTCATAGATATTCAGAAGTGGAGCCAAGTTTGAGAAAGTAAAAGTCTGGGGGATGCTTGTTACTCTTCTCTTCACTGTGACCAAATATCTGGCAAGAAGCAAATTAAATGGGGGAAGAGTTTTTATTTTGGCTAACAGTTTGAGGGTGCAATCAGTCTACCATGTTGGAAAAATTATGAGAGCAGAAATCAAAGCCAGCTTGTCACATTATCAGGAAGCACAGAGAGATAAACACTATTATTCAGCTTGCCCCTTACCTTTTTTTTTTTTTTTTTTTATTTAGTATGGGATTCTGGCCCATGAAATATTTGCTGATGCCTACTCTAGCATGGGTCTTTCTACTTCAATTAGTCTAATATAGAGACTCCAGATTCTAGACCCTGTCAAGTTCATAATAAAGGACATAACTTTGAAGGATTAATTATATTCATGGTCCTCTTCCCAGACCCTGTCTGCTTCCTGCTCTCACTAGGTGAGTAGCTTTTCCCCAACACATTGTCTGCCGCATGATGCAGACCCCAGAAACAGCTTGGTTGAGTGACCATGGCATAGACTGAGACCCAGGAAACTGCATACAAACATAAACATTTCTTATTTTGTGTTTACCTCATGGATTTTTTTTTGTCACAGAGATAGGAATATGAGCAATCCAGAGTCTTAAAAAATATGGGTAAAATAAAATTTAAGTGACAAATATTCTGATTAATGGTGAGTTCTGGTTGTACAGTATGCTTGAAGACCAACAATACATATTACCATACCAGGCCTTAAAGAAGAGTACACTAAAAGAAAAACCTGATTGAATTCTGTTCAAGGGTTTGGTATAAGCCTAATCTTTGAGCACGCCTCACATGGAATCAGCATTGGGCCACACCAGCTTGGAAAGGTCTGAGAAATACCGTCTTTACATGCTGGTGTTCTATTGGATATATTCAAAGAGGACTGCCATGGAGCCCTTTCTGACTTAGAGAAAGGAAGATTGACTATGCTTGAGTGTAGAATAGACTCTAGTATAGTATTATTATTTACATGATAAAATTCAACCCTATGTGAAGGCTGGAGAGAAAAAGGCCAACTCTTAATCTATCCTTGGAATTAGCAATTTACATATGATGACCGGATCACCCAGTCATAGGAATTTATATTTTCATTTTGTCCTAACGAAAAACTTGACCATCTTTCTTTAATATTATCAACCTGGAAGCTTGACAGTAAGGATTAAAAATTGCTCCTCGCTTCCCACTTGGTTATTGGAAAGGTTCTGAAAGGTAATCAGTCTTGTGAAGCTACACTTTACAGTCTGCATAAAAATGCCATGATTTCCCTTCCTCTCCCCAACCTAATTGAAAGTGCATAATATCACCCAGCTGGGGAAATGTGTAAACGTAAACATATGCAATATATCATTCTATCACACAAAAGCTGGCTACTGCTAGGGTCCTGGTGGTTGTCAGAACCCTAAAAAATTTGGAAAATGAGTTTTTTTTCTTTCATCTAGAATGAGAACTTCTTGTGCCTTCTTCTTTGCCTCCTCCCTCCAGATTTCAAGCAGCAGCAGTCAGATTAGAGCAAGGTCCATCAACCCATCCCTGGAATATGGGACTGCAAGGCTATCTGACAATGCATATGGACCAAAGCTCTTTTAGACTATCCTTTTCCCAGATAGAACATTTTTCTTTGGGCAAGAGGTACAGTTGGAGTCATCTTGTTCCTCACTTGCTTCAGACAGATGCTCCTAATATCTCTTTCCCTTGCTCCTAAACCTACAGGTCACATCCTATCTCTCTCTACTTCATCAAACTCCTAGAACCAAGATGATCTCATTTTCCACCTCTGATCATAGTTTAGTTTTCATTGAGTATAAAACCCCAACCTTATTTTTCAAAGCCTCCTGCACTGTGATAGCTATCTATAATTCCACACCAGTTACACCTCCTTGGAAGCCATTTTCCCTTTTCTGACTCCTCACCTCCAAGTCTCATGTCATCTTCTTGAATAAGTGCCTTACAATAGGGCTCTTAGGACAAAAGACAATATACTTCCAAAGTCTTCATTATTAGTTCTCTGTCACTGTATTCCTGCAGACTGTTCCCTGTTGTACCATGCACTCTACTGTTACTATCCATCCATGCCACCTTATAACTAGCTATTGTTTTATGTTTGATGACTGATACCTTACTGGCAGGTCAACATGGAACACTTGTCTAGGGCACCATGTCATTTTAGTTTTAGTAGATTGAAGGATGCATTTTTATTTGGTTCAGCAGTAGAGATGATTTGAAACTTACTGAATTAAAACTGCATTCATCTCTCACTAATATTACCTGTCAGCTAGGGCTGGAGGATGATATGGCTTGTTGACCTTGGCATAAAGACCCTCTAAGTGGTCTCTGTCTGGAGACAGTGGACGTCCATCCCGAGGGTAAGCAAGTGGTCCAGCTCGAGGGGGAGATGGAGATCTGAAGACATTTGCTGATGTGCACGGCTCCCGAAAGTGGTTCACTCTGGCATAATTGGGATCCATTTCATCATCATCCATATCATGCACTGATCCAATCGCTCCAGTGGCATAATCAACAAGACCTTTTGCCTGTTTTTCCCTTAGCTCCTGATGTTTTGCTCCAATCCTGAAAAATATAGAAGAGGTTGCATAGACTAATGTGAATCCCAGATCCTGATACAATAAAACAGTCTCTGTTAACTCTTGCTAACCACTTAGCTGTCACCTTCCTGTGTCTTCAAGATCATACCATGCAGAAATGCCAACAGCATAAGAGGATTAATTTTAAATCCATGACCTTTATTTGTCACAGAGTCTTCACTTTGATAGCAATGCTATAGGTATTCTGACACATCTCTGACTGATGATTGGGCTGACAGCAGTCTCTCCCTACAAAGGAGCTGTGATTGTAGCAACAGTATGCCTCGGAAAAGATGCCATGGAAGTATTTCTTGGGACAAGGCTACATGGGAAAGAGCACATCAGAATCTTACACGTTTGCTATGGTTTCACTCTTCAGTATTCCAGAGTTTCAGTGTATTTGTCTAAGGAAGAGTTTGAAAAAGAATGATTTAAATATGAAAAGAAATATAGAGACTGTCTGGTCAGTGAAAGCAGCCAAATTGAAGGTAATTTGTAAGAGACTCAAAGTCTTTTTTGTTGTTGTTACACAAATGGGGATCATTGTGCCTCATTGTACAAGGGCTACAGACAGAGTAAAATAATGAAGAAATTAATAGGATTGTGACAGAGATGAATTGGCACATATAAATGAATTAAACTTCATTACTGGCAGAACTGCATAGCCTTAAAGCTTTAAGTGATAGTACAGAATGTTACTGCTAGTCAGTGATAATATATATAGACTACTGGGGATGGAGCAGGAAATATATTTATGTGTATTCTATACCTACCTAAATTGTGAGAATTTATACAGAGAGAATTAGATGGAAAGCTCACTAGGATGTCCTACTGGACAGTGGTGATGTGGATGGTGTTGGGAGGCCCTTTAACCTTTATCCTTGAGAATACAAGATGTAGGATATATAGGATGAGAGAATGAGATGATCCTGGCTCGGGTATCTGTATCTAAAGAGATAGATGTTCAAGGAAGGATGGGGACGATGTTGAAGCCCAGGGCTCAGGGAAGGTAGGTAAGAGGACTCTGGGCAGCAGTGAAAGGTCTATATTTGCCTGGAGACACAGACAGAAGCCCTGGGTCAGTTATAAACAAAACCTAAAGTCTACCAGCAACTTCTCTTCAAACAAATACAGTTGTTTTTGTATATGGGAGCTATTTTCATTTTCCAAACATCAAACCCTTTGTCAAAATCTTTCAAAGCCATATTTTTTTCCTTATTTTGCATATCGATCCCAGTTCCCTCTCCCTCCCTCCTTCCCATGGCCCCTGATCATCCTCCTATTCCATTCCTTCTCCTGCTTCACAGGGAGGATGATGCCTTCTAGGAGGGATCAACATGATCTGTCAAGTCATTTGGAGTAGAGACTAGGCCTTCCCTAATGCCTCTAGGTTAGGGGAGTATCCCTCCATGGGGAATGTGCTCTCAAAGTCCTTTTGTGCACCAGGGATACATCCTGGTTCCACTGTCAGAGGTCCCTTAGACTGCCCAGGCCTAATAGAGACCCATGTTTAGGGGGTCTGAGTCAGTCCAATGCTGGTTTACCAGCTATCAGTCTGGGGTCCATGAGATCCCCATTGTTCAGGCCAGCTGTCTTTGTGGGTTTCTGTAGCCTGGTCTTATCCCTATTTTCTTATCACTCCTCCCTCTCTACATCTGGATTCCAGTTTGGCTGAGTTTTAGCTGTGGGTGTCTGCCTCTGTTTCCATCAGCTACTAGATGAGGGCTCTATGATGGTGGATAAGTTAGTCATCAATCTCATTATCAGGGAAGGGCATTTATGCCTCTCCACTATTGCTCAGATTGTTAGTTGGGGTCATCCATGTAGGTCTCTGGACATTTCTCTAGAGTCAGTTTTCTCTTCAAACCTATAATAGCTCCCTCTTTTATGGTATCTCTCTCTCTCTCCCCCTCTCTACCTCTCTCTCTCCCCCTCTCCCTCTCATTTATTCCTCCCCTGACTCAATCTTCCTAGTCCCACAAGCCATAATTTCATAATTTTTAAAAGTGTTTTTTTTTTTCTTGTGACAGGACAGTGTTTGTATTTTAGGTTTTGTTTGTTTCTTTCTTTTTTTAGAAAGGAAAAATTGGGTAAGAGAAAGAAAAGGCAACAAAACAAGATGCCTAGAGGTAGCCTAGGATAGAAAAGCAGCACCTACCTTGGGGTCACACAACAGATGAAATTATACGCCAGGATACATTATTGCATATCTGTTTTGACTAAGCTAAAAACGTACCTGACATATAAGTAATTGGAAGGATTTATATATATATATATATATATATATATATATATATATATATATATTTTGCATGAGGCAGTTTGAATCTCTAAGGGATTCTGAATTAAGATGAAAAGAGTACACAGCAGGGTACCCATTAAAGGGCCTTGCCTGTCCCCTTTCAATGCATGTTAGTCCCAGATTCATAGATGTTTGTTTTGAATAATTTTTGATAAAGAAGACAGCCTGCTCCAATGAAATTTGAGACTCAGCCTAAAATGGGCATTATGCCAAGATTTATCATTTTTCAAGGGATGGTGCAGACTGGTTTGTCAGAAAATGCTTCCTGTACTATGACGATAGGGAAGCATTTCCATTGTAAATAAGGTAAAAGACACTGGGAAAGTCCAAGGGTGCAATTCAGTACACTTCCTCTCCCTCATAAGTGCAATGCTGCGAGAGAAATCAGTCAGTAGAAAGATAAAGACCTCCTGGCTACACTTGTGTATTAATGGGAGAGGAAAATACCAAGCCTGATTTTTTTTAAAATAGCATAAATAGAATATCAGGATCTGTGTTTCTTATTTAATCTCTCCCTTTCCTTGAGGTTTTCAAATTAGTGAAGCTTGCTAGCTGTGTAGCGATTCCTAGATGAGAAAGTTCTTCGTGAATGCCAAGCAGTGTTAGATCTGGCATTTTTCTTTGCTAAAACATAACCAGTTCTTCCTCAATCTCCTCTGCACTACTGAGGGTGGCAGTAACTAATTTCATATTAATCACTCAGTGGGTGAAATAGTGATTTCTCTGCACCATCATTACTCTGCCAAATATCAGGGTCTCTCCATGTGGGGAAGAGGCAGTCTCAGAAAAGGGTACATAAGAGCGGAGGAGACTCTCTCAAGACAAGTGTCAAAGAAAAAACATTTCATCTGTCTTGCGCTGACCCACCTCCACCCCACGCAGTCTGAAATGTTTCTGATTGCTTCTTCCCAGGTGTCTCCTGACCACTGCAAATTCAACAGGTTAAAATACCGGAATTTCAGAATAGCCTAACAGCCTTCCATTTCATGGTACCACTCATTTGGCCGGCCTCCTGAGCACACTACCTTTGAATTATTGAGCTCTCCTTTCTCTTGCTGAAAACAATAGTGTCTCTCCTTTCCATTTACATTTCTTGATTGCCCCCCCCCCACTTTATTTCCATTTCCTTGGCTATAGTGTGTAGCATTCACATTTTATATTGCCTTGATCACCCATTTAATGTGGTACCCATTTGCTGTGTGTGTGGCCCTATAAATTTGAATTTGAATTAATTAAAATAAAATAAAACTCATTTTTAGCCTTATGAATTCATTCAAGTGACTAATAGCTACATATAACCAGTGGCTTCTGTGCTGACAATAAAGATAAGGACAGATTCCACAACTGCAGAAAGCTTTACTAGACTATGCCAGTCTAATTGATTCAGAGAGATTTTGGTATATCACCGTACCCCGCTTGTCTTAGCAACTGTGTTGCTTATTCCATGTCATAGCTTATAGTCCATCTCCTAGGGAAGTCAAGGCAGGGCCTGGGAGGCAGGAACTGAAGCCGATGCCATGGGAAGAATGCTGCTTACTAGCTAGTTCCTCGGCGCTTGCCCAATTTGCTTACTTATAGTGCCCAAGACCACTAGCCCACAGTGTTCTGAACCTTCCCATATCAAACATCATTTAAGAAAATGGACCACAGGCTTACCCTCGCACCACTGGTGGGGAGCATTTCCTCAATTAAATTTTCCTCTCCCCAACACGACTCTAGCTTTTGTCGAGTTGACATAAAACGAGCCATCCCACCACTTTAGTCTGCTCCTGAGAACACTTCTCTAACCATCTTCTCAGTCAGATCAGGGATCTTCAGTGGATTATAACAGACTGGTGTGTGAGAGTATGGTCAGCTCACTACTTTCACTGAAACATTACATGATCAAGGAGTGGGGAAGAAAAAATTAATCTTTAGTGGAGTTAGAAGTGGTTTCAATCCCACACCTCACAATGGAATTGAGACAGCCTAAAATAGGGATTATACCAGGAGCTAATATATGCTTATATTTTTAGCGGGGCACATATTTCCCTGAAGTAAGGAAGAAAGCCTGCAGAAGCAGAGTCAGCATGACTTTACGTAGGAAAGAGAGCCAGAGGACAAGAAAGGACCTGGGATTGTGTCCTGGTTGAGGACCCAAACGGGGAATAACAGCTTCGGAGAGTTGAATTTCCTGTGTGTGAGTTGTCTCCTGTCTATGAAGAAACTTCATGGAGACAACGTAGGGATAAAATGAAATGGTAAGGAGGGTAAAAGAGCAAAAATAAATCCAGACTCATCAAAACAAAACCAAGCACTGAGGTAACCTCATCTAGGAGTAGGTTCATCTGATGTCAGGATAACCTGGCCCCGAATTAAAGACCACAGAAAGTAAACTCCCAGGACAGTGACACAGAGAAGTAGGAAAGGAAATTATTTTAGGAAAACACTTAGCATTGAAGCTACTGGTGCCTTTATATTATTATTCTTGTGTCACTGAAATGATGTTTCAGCATACATTCTAATTTAAATTTCAAACAGTAGTCACAGAAATATTTCAGCAAAGATCTACCTCCTATAAGGTTACAGCCTTCTAAAACAGTGGCACTAGCAGGCAGTCAATATTACCAGCATAATGGTATTCCTATTTTCAAAGCAAGTTATATGGAGGTATTTGCATGTAGTAATATGTGATACTTGTAATT